CATCAGGCTTGGGTCCTCCCGCTTCAGTTTTCTGACTTTATACATCAATCTGCTATAGTCACACCTGGAAATTTACTAATCTGCAAGATGGTTTGTACTGAGGTCCAGCTGACATGTCACAATGTACAGTCGTAATATGGAATCAGCCAAAGTGTGTGATATCAGATGAACAGGTGAAGAAGAAGTAGTACATCTACATAATGTCACACTAATCAGCCTTGCAAAAGAAGGAAATCCTGGTATTAGTTATTATGTGGATAAACTCGGAGGACCTTGTAGAAAAAGAAATAATTAGGCATAAATAAATAAATACTGCATTAAGTTACTTAAAAGTGAATACTTAAATTTCAATGCAGAACAAAGTGGTGACTACAGCAGCTGTGAGTTGGGAAATTAGTTGGATGTTGGTGAAAAGGCATACATTTTAGTTACATAAGAGGAATATTTAGAAGATATCACTTTATATCATAAGTATAGTTAAAAATAAATTTTATACTTGAAATCAACAGAATGACATTATAAAGAAAGAGGCCAAAATGTTCAAAACACACTTCTTAGAAGGGGCAAATATATGTAAATATATCCAAAATATATAAAGTCAGAAACAAAAATATGCAGTACATGATAACAAAACAGAAAAGATGTGAAAAGATGTTTCTGCCTAGAAGATACATTAATTGTCATAAAGCATATGAGATGTTTAATCAGTCCAAGGAGTATGTAATTGAAAAGTAAAGTCATAAACATGGACTGTACTTTCACGCAATCCCATGAAAAATAAAATTATTTCATTTGGAAGAAAATAGAGCAGGAGGCCATCATGTTGAATGATGTAAGCCAGACTCAGAAAGACCAATATCACAAAATTTCCCAATATGTGGATTCTAAAAAAGTACTGAGAAAGTGGAATGGAGTCTATGAAACAACAGGAAGTGTATAAGATGGAGAAGATATGATAGGAACAAAATATTTAATATACAGTGAAACTCCCTCCCCAATGTGAAATTTGGCCTGAGGGCAGAGCAAAGAGAGTGATGGGGGGAATGAAAATGATGAAGGTGTGTTATTTGTAGGTAGGAATTTGCCAAGAGGAAACACCAGTAAACAACAGTAAAATAAAGTACAATGATATACCATCCTACATAAGAGGACACTATAGTTGCTTTTCTATTTTATGCAAAATAAAGCAAAATTTCATAACAAGATACAAAGAGAATAACAATAGTTAATGCACTATGTATCATTATCTGGAAAGAAGTTAGTGGACAAACTTATACAGGAAAAGATTTTCTCTGACAGACGAGAAACAAACAATGTCACAAAACTTTGTTTTCAGTGAACTAAGAGAAACAAGTAGCACAAATGAACTGAATTAGCATATAAATATTAAAGTATTTTTGCAA